GTGGATTGACAACCTAATGGCACTCTTGACTATAACGTGAGTGAGGCAAGGGAACGAGATGGAAGAAAAAAGATAGTTGACTTGATCAGAATAAAATCCTGTCATCATGACTTGCGAGCACTTCGGAAGTTCGACGGTCCACCGAATCTCAGGCGGGATTGTCTCGAAGAACGAGCGGTCCACCCCCTGCAAGTTTAGGGTTTCGAGCCTGGAAGACCCGGCCAGAATGAAGGGGATTTGGGTGAGCGAGACCAGAGATTGAGGACCTAAAAACTGAAGGTGAATGTGGACCAGCGATTGAAACGCATCGGCCTTGAACTGTCCATATCTTCCGCCTCCAAGAGTGAGTTCTTTGAGCAGGGGAGCGTGGCCAGAGAAGAGACCGTCGAAGTCGGGAAGTTCGTCCTCTTCTTTGGTCGAAGCCCAGAAGTCGAAAACTTCCATTTTCGGGGCATGTAGGTACCGAATACGTCCCCAGAGATTCTGGATGGCCAGCTCGTTTCCCCGTAGCTCCCTTAGATCAAACTTCAATTCCAGGTGGTGTACACGGTGCATATTGGAACTCAAGAATTCCGCCCACCACTTTATTCTCTCATACACAGCACTTTGCGGAGGTAGAACCAGAGAGTCTATACGCAAGCTGAGCGGAGAACTTGCTGCTCGAAAGGCAAACGCCTCCATCACAGGATATGGCCACCAAAGGTCTATGTCGTTCCATAATAAGGGGGAACGAAGGAATGTTGTGCGCAAGAGGGAACAGCTGACACGGAATATCAGTCAAATGCGCAGAGTCGTCGAGAATTCAAACTAACTCACATGTGGGTTAGCATCAATCGCTTTCGGACTGCAACTAGTGACATATAGAAGGGGGTAGAGTCTTCCCAGCGCATCGAATCACCCACTCCTATCCAACCTCCCGGTAGCATGACATACTCGTCCATCAGGAAACCCAACCCGTGTACCCTAGATGATACATAGCGCTATATTTTGACGACTCTTGAGAGTGCTTTCAAGTATGGCTTGGCTTGAGAGCAGCTAGCGTATCAGGGGGGTGTTTCCTGATGTCAGCGATGTTGAGAAGAATTTCTTCTGGGATTCGAAGCAAGGGTGAGGTGCTATTAGACGCTTGACGAGAATGCAGCGCGGGTCCGCTGGGAGACCGTTTGACCGGTTCGAATTTGAGAGGGATGCGTGTTTGGTTTGGAAGAGCCATGGCAGCAACGTCAGTTGAAGTCGGACTATTCGCAAGGCAGGAGTGATCAGGGAGACAAAATCTATAGTTGACGTCGTCGGGATCATACGGATGATGATGATGGAACAAACTACAGACCTCTCATCCTTGTTCTTGCTTGAGCTTATTGACATCTCTGTCAACTCGTTGACGGTCAAGTCGGAAGCCGAAACTCTTCCAGGGACATCAGATGATGCCATGAATTGTGTTTCCTGTATCTCTATTTCAGTCGCCATTAATCAATACATGGAAAAGGTATGCTCCCACTTACTTGGTTTTCCTTGGAGACGTTGGGGCAGCCTCCGTCTCGTACGATCCAATTATTATGACCGGGGCAGCTTACGTGGCCCTTCAATGTGAGCCGTGTCCAATGAGGTGAGGCAAGACCAGACCAGGTTATCAAGCAGCTAATCGTTCGAAATATTCTAGATGGTTGTCTGAGATATTGTGAGCATGGTCAACAACGTCAACTTCAACGAGCCGGAATTCCGAGTTCTATAATAACTTCGACAAAATTCGCGAAATAAATTTCATCATGATGCCGCATAGGAATTGCAAGCTATTGGACCAATGACGATTCAGTCATTCTTATATTTAATTTCAAAATGAGGGGAGCATGCTGGTGCTCGAGACAACATGTCTACTAGCTCAGTCAGCGAAATGGGATTGATTGACTCGGATTCAGATGCAAGTTGTTCAGATGAAATTCCTGAACCGCGCGAATCCAACACCAAAGACTGTTTTCCAGTGAGAAAATCGTTCGATGACCTGGGAGCTGCTTCCCAGCAACATTCGCAAACATAGGATAGTCCCTATGCATACGTCTGAATGCGACTCATATACGACTCCCCAACGATTGTCATTCTGAGTCCGACTGGCTCTGCTCGCTTTCATCTACTATGACTTCACGAAGGTTAGGACGGTGATGGAGCAGTGTTTCAATGGCATGCCAATCGTCGTCTCCGACTCTATTAGCCACGGCAACCTTCATGCCCATCAATTCTGGACAACACATCTCTCGCGAGTTGAGTACCGCCAGGAATGAGGCTAGCTTGATTTTCCCACTGAGGGATATTCTCTGAACAGAGGGATAGGAGGAGAGAACCTCCATCCATGTTTCTTTGGTATACACGTCTTCGGGGAGGGTTTCCCAATCGTCACCCGAAAATGACAGATATCGTGGTCGCGCCTGGAGAATGTGTGAGGGAGCAGTCAGGAGCCGGTTGACCATATTTAGTTGAGCCTCAGACGAGCGGGATCGCAGCCCGTGCTCGGCCACATAGACAGAGGATTTCGGTACCCTCATTTCAGCACCAACTTTCCCATGATAAAGATCGAATTTTAATCTAGAGGCGCTCGAGCATTGTGATTTTAACGAGGATGGGATTGTGGAGTGAAGGCGAGGAAATGGGAACGTTGTAGACGCCGCCCCTTGGACAGAAATATGTCGCAGAGCAGGAAATGACACAGCAGATAGGAAAAACACGATGGCGTCGCTCGTGAAATCTCCCATGGTGAGAGAAATACAATGTTCAAGCTCAACCATCGGTTGGATCGCCGGCGCGACAGGGTCAGTGACAAGATCAGTGTCATCCTGTGAACCATACAAACGTAGTACCTCGAGCCCAGGGCAGTGTGAAAGAGTTGTTGGAAGAGTTCTTAGTTGACTCAGGATCAACTGAGGGTCGGTGAGCTCCAGTCTAAGCGACACTAGTGATGCGAACGCTCTGAGATTCACGTTCTGGTTCCAGCAGCTCTCGAGTTCTATGCTGCGCAACAGAGGAGCTTGATTGCCAAAAAAATGATCCGGACGGAACTCCTGAAAGATGGATGACGTTGACAATTCAAAGACTTCAAGTATGGGGGCAGGTAAGTCTTTAATCGCATTCCAGATCTTTTGGTAGTTAAAGGCTCCACCACCCTGCCAATCTGAAAACACAAGTCTCAGCTCTCGAAGACGATGCATTTTCTGATTCAAGAAATGAGGAAGAAACTCCAGCATTCTCCGGAAGAAACCGGGTACTGTATGAGCTGATTCAAACAAGATGGGCAACCTCAGCGACAGTGAGGCATTTTGGGCTCGTTCAGCAAAAGTTTCAATGAGTGCAGGGGGCCAGGACAAGTCGAGTTTAGTCCATAGATGAGCAGAGCAGTTGCACATCTGGCGCAGCTCAAAGCATCTACAGTTCGTGAAAGAGTTCAGCAGCGAGTAGATCACCATTTCAATAGCACTTACATATGAGTAATGGAAAGAAGCTTGACAAGCCGTTGGAACGAATAATACGGGATTGGATACGGAACACTTTTCACTTCCGAAACGCAGTCAACCGCACAGACATAAAAAGCGACAATATTCAGGATGATCTCTTCAGGCATGCGGAGTAGCAGCGACTGCTTATTAGAGAATCGGCGCGTTTGGGCTCCGATGCCTGCCACGCATTGGCGAATGCTTTCCAAGTATAAGACATGCTCGTCATGGAGTTGGAGGACCTTTCGTACTCTTTCATGAGAACTCTGGGAGGGGGAATTTTCTGAGATAGTTCGGGTGCTGAGAAAATGTCCAGTTAGAAGGAGGATTTGACAACGCCGACTTTGAATTCATACTCACTGCTCCTCCCACATTTTCGCGACAAGCAACTCAGAGAGCTCACTGACACTCATCCTCGATACATCCGCGAGTTCCCTGGGTGTCATTCCTGTACGACCCGGTAAGTGTCGATAGCATTGCAAGTTGGAGGTCTACGCACTCTCAGAGAACCTGAAGGAAGCCTAGGATGTTGCGATGATCTGAAGCCGAGAATAACACCTAGAATTCAGTTTTCGTGAGTCAGCGTCAACAGAGTTCACCAATGAACTTGCCAGTGAACTTTACTGACGCCTCGAAAGCTCGCAACGCGTCAATAGCGTCCAGCTCTCAGGCGGATGATGGAAGGAACAAGAGTTACATGTAAAGCGGAACTTTCCGTCGGTAGCGCTGTCCTGGCCTGATTGGCAAGTTGGTTGAACGGTGCAAAAAAAAAAAAAACGACGGTCCTTCAATCGAACAGAACAAAAGACATTACTCTTCGAGAAGGTGGAGAATGAGCAACAACTGAAAACACTCAAGCAACGATAGGTCAAAAGGGCCTGACCGGGAGTTGAACCCGGGACCTCTCCGAACTCAGGAAAACCCAAACGGAGAATCATGCTACTAGACCATCAGGCCGATATAATGCCGTCCCCCCTGTGTGCCTGTGTACAGATTGTGTTCTTTTGCCTTATCTGGAGGGCCGCGATCTAGCGAGCCAAGCTGCCAAATTAACCCGAAGCTCTAGATTGAGGGCAATCTTAGCATAAACTTTCAACGAGTGAGAAACCGCACTTGTTGGTAGCTTTAAGTTCGGGGGTGGGCAGGGCTCAGACCCTTGCGGAATGCGGATTTACTCACTCTCAAAGCACGAGTGATCCGCCTTGAGGCAAGGAAAAAGAAAGTCTCCGCACCGACAATCCATTAAAGTGATCCGAGCTCTTTCGATTCCAATTTTGTGACACAAGAACGCGCATCATTTTGTATCAGATCTCAATCTTCGTCCCGACACCGCAGTGGATTCAGGAGGGTTGTCACCCTCGCTCGCTCAACAGTGCATCGTTGTGGGCCTCCGGAAGCCGTGCTTGCCGGCACGAAATACGAAGATTCGTACTAATTCGGAAAAAGAAGAGGCGACGTTCCCTTCGAGAGACACGTAACGGACAAAATGATATCGAGGAGGTGGAGCCCGAAGCAAAACAAGGGCCTGACCGGGAATTGAACCCGGGACCTCGCCGAAACACAAGCCCGAACGGCGAATCATACTACTAGACCATCAGGCCATTGTCAAGCCAGAGACTCTGTGCATATATAACGTTTTGTAACCTTCATGCTGTTGCTGCGGATGAATGCCTGACCGCCCACATGAAGATGATAGTCAAACTTCTGGATTGTACAATACAATAGATTACAAATAATATATCACCAGTAGTCCACACGCCGATAGGCAATGACACTGTCTTTGTCGTCGCCGCGTTTCATATACGAAGCATCCCTGACGACCTTCTTCCTCTCGCTCTCCCACCTCTCAAACCACTTCATCATCTTGCCTCTCGAAGTCGCACTCCCAACATTGACGGTAGCGATCATCTTCCCCCAGCTCAAGCTTAACGCGAAACACGTTAGCTCAAAGAACGACGAATGCTCCGAGTACGGGATGCCGTAGAGCATGGCTGTAGGAGTCGAATTGCGCATCGGCTTGAGCGAGGACCACGTGAAGGTTCGCTTTTGATCTCGTGATATGACAAAAGGTATGGACGGCATCATATCTGTGCCTGCCGGAGGTGAATATCTGTAGCAGAGATTCAGTGACGATTTCACGACAGTCAGATGGCTTGAACGTACGTCCATCCAGTGGGGCGAAATCCGACTGCTTTCTTGAACACCCGTCCGTACTGTTCCAGATACGAGCCAAATCGGTCCGAATTGATGCATTGTAAAGGAACGACATGGATCGTCGCTTCATACGGATCGCTGGTCAGAAGTGCATGCAACTCAGGATCATTCTGACAGCGTAGAAGCTTTGCTTTCCGGGCGTCACAGTACACTTTGCTATTCAGCGCCTTCGCAACAGCTGTATACGCCCTGTGAGAAGATGCCAAGCAGATTGCTGGTCAACACACACCTTTAACAATACGCTCCTTCCCTATCGAATATGTGCTAGATCGGGTACGTCAGCATCGTCCCGATCCGTGGCTGCTCAAGCAAACTCACCCGATAACAACCAACACCCGCTCTTTCCCCTCTTCCATCTTGACATTCTCAGCACCTTCCTCCTTCACAACCTTTGCCCAGTCCGTGATCGATCCCTGTGGCTTGACGCCCTCGCTTCCCAAACCGACTTGACACGCCTCTACATTCTCGCCGTTGACGATCTTCACTGCAAGCTCCGCGCACGCGTCGATAACAAGCGGCTGTGGGGGGAAACAATACTGGATAGGACAGTCAGCTTCGACGTCAATGTCGGCAAGCCGGAAGTGAAATGCGGACCTTGGGGTTCAGATACGTAGTGTCGAGATATATCTGGTCCAAGTGCTTTCCTTTAATCGAGGGATGAAGGACATGCTGAGGACATGCTCTAAAATCTCCGCAGTGAAGGTACCGGAATGTCCGTTTTGAACCTACGAAGGGCGATCGGAAGTTACTGTCTCCTGCGTTTGTGGTCTGAGGCCCCTCGAAGAGGAAGAGAGATGAGCCGGGACAGTGATTCGCTGATAAATATTTCGTCAAATTGGTTTAGGACAAAGAAAGAGGGGTTACCTTCAATAACTGTCACTGATACCCCTCCTGAATCCGGTACGAGCGTTTTGACATTGTTCGGCAAAGGGTGAACCCATTTCGGATCTACATCAAGCATGTGTATGATCAAGTTTGCTGTCGTGACTGTCGTCCCATTGAGATTGGTTCAATCGTGAATGAATGCCACCGCTGGACTTACTTGAGCAATAGATCGGTCCGTTCTTCCAATTCGAGCTGAGATTGGTGTAATGATCCGAATGAGCATGCGAGAGCCAATAAGAAGTGACACCGGGTATCTTCCCGTATCGAAACGCATCCACTGCGATCGGCATGCCGGGCATAACCTGCCATCGGGTTCAGGTACAGCTCACGGGCATAGTGCAGAGTAATGCTGACCTTATAAAAGGGGGCTTTCCGCCGAGGCTGGCCCTTCGTAGGTCGGAAATTGCGATCTTCAGCTTCGGCAGCTTCTTTCCAGGCTTCATTTTCGCCATGGCCAGACATCAAGACAGAGAAGGCGTTCGCAGTCGATTTCGGTTTGGAGGAAGAGGAGCTTGAGGTCTTGGATGATGAAAAGGGAGATGGATCTCGTTTGTGTGCTGATAGTGAATCAATACACGAGTTGACATGTTCGTCGACATCCTGTCACGCTTCGGATGAGGGATACTATTTCACAATAATGACGTGGACATACCTTGCTCGCCATACCCGCAGTACTCGTTCCACAAATGGGACACGCTTGTTTACACTCCGCTTTGGAAGACGACTCGAGGTCTTCTTCGTCCTCCTCGCCTGCCTCGTCGAAGTTGTCGAAAACTTCATCATCTCCGGTCTTCCATTCATCGACCAGCGATGATAGGTCTTGCTCCGATTCAGAAGCTTTGCTGGGTGTAGGATTTGAAGTGGCTCGCGAATAATATAGGGGGTTTGGAGGAGGACGGGTTGGAGCAAGGGTAGAAAATTCGGTGGACGAGTGATCGTCGGCGCAGTGAGTTGGAGATGATGTTATGGTATGGACGGGTGATGAAGGGATGTCGATGATTTCAGCTGAAGTGTTCGGAGTCTCCTCGCTCGTGTCCATCGCAGAGCTGGAAGGTTCGTTGTCCGTGGCCTCTGTTGTCGAAGTCGCCAAAGTATCCTCCATGAAAAATATGGGCGTCCCAAAGGTCATATCATCCTCTTTCTCTCTGATGTCCACCTCCTGAACTTCCGTTTTGACATGGTTTGAGGCTGATCTCCCTGCCACAAGACCACCCTGACTCGATCGTCGCTCCGGCGGCGGCGGTCTGGAGATATGAGCATCGACATATAGGTCGTCCTCTTCGTCATCTGAGTCGTCGATAACAATGATGTCCGTCAAGGGCGTCCTTTCAGCGTTGGTCGATGTTCTTCCATTTTCTCGAGTAGGTGTCCGTGATTTGGGCTTCACGTTCGCGCCTTGTTGAGATTTTGCTGGCTCCGACTTGCTCGACGAACCTGTCTTGAAGAAATTATAAAGTGTCTTTGATTGTGAGGGCGAAGGTCGTGATTTAGTGGCTTTTGGCATTATGAATACTGGGAGTGAAACACTTCATTGGAGAGAGGTTGCCGTCGCAGCACTCGGAGCGGAGTTCTAATCATGCTTGTCTTTTTTCCTCGATGTCATTTCATTGTTGATTCAGCTAAGTCCTGAACAGTCGTTGATACAGGAATACTTTATAGTGTTGCACAAGATTCAGAGTTTCACAAAAGTTCTGGCTGCGTTAGTGCGTCAGAATTCGAGCTCCCACCAGAGTCGCCGAACAAACTCGCCAATTTGGGGCTTGTAGTGTAAAATCCCCATATATAACCAATCCAAGACACAAAGCCAATCCTGATTACATGTAGATAGTGTTAATGTCTGTGGACAATGAAAAATCTCCAAAGAGAATATATTCAAATCGGCGTAGTGAATTTTCATCAAGCAAGAAACTCGGAGTTCGGAACCGAAACCATCCTCGCGCCCAACTCGCGCCAGCCTTGGCCAGCTTGGCCCTTGGGTTGCTTAGCAGGGGCCGGGCCTCTGCGACTTGTTCTAGCAAAGATGCCTTCCACAGCCGCTCCCGGAGATCATATACCCCATGATGACATCGATAAGCACCTCTTTGAGGTGTTGACCCAACTTTATCTCCCCTACCTCATCACGGGCTTCGGGCAACCCATACGTCGCCGTTACAGTGACCCTGGTCCGTTGAAAGTGGGGGACCGCGCTGCACCGCGTCAGGGACCCCCATGTGCGCAAAATCCTGGGCATATGGCAGGAAATCACCTCTCATCTCCCCGTCCGGCACCTCCTGAGCCTATGCTGAAGATGTTGAATACGCTCCTTTACGGGCCTCAATGGCAGATACGACCTAGCAACGTCCCGGGGCCTTCCAAATCTTCTCCCCCTTCCGATAATGACGCGTCTTCGACACCCATTCCTTCCAAGGCTCGCCCTACAAAACCTGCTCTTAGACACGTCAGCCAGGCTCAGCACGGCGCCGGGAGTTCAGGGTCTGGGATCAGGCAGAATATCGCTCTCGAGAAGAGAATGAAGGAACTCATTGCCAGAGCGCGGATTGTGATGGCCCAAGCGCTGTTCACAATGACGGACCCAGACTACGATGACGAAGGCCATCCCGGACATGAGCTCGGTCAAATTCAGAAGGAATTCGAACACATTAGCACGCTTCGTGACCTTCGAAATTTCTCGTCTTCGCTGGACTTAAATACAGGATCCGGACGGAGTGTCCGCCAACAGAAAGGCAAAGGTAAACAATCAGAGGTGCAAGACCGTGACATGCAGATTCAAGGAACGAAGCAGTCGAAAGCTGCTCCGGAAGCAAAACCTCCCGCACCTCCGCCTTCTGTCCCGCAGCCCGGGCCTTCGGTCGAACGGGATGGTGATATGGGAATTCGACCTTCAATCTCGCCCGCCGAGTTAGCCCAGCTTCTCGAGGTACTGGCAGCTTTGGGACGTCCTGCTGGTTCTTTATCTCCTACGAGCAGCCCATACAGCAGCAGGGAATCAGGAGGGGGGAGTACGCAAGAAGGTGGAAGTGGATATACGGGGCATCATTATACTGCTCCGAGACCTTCCTCACCTTACATGGGAGCTCTCTATGGTGCGGCACCCAATCCACCCAATCCACCCTTGGAACAACCGAGGCCTCTAAACTTTCACCCTCAAGTCAGTCAAAAGTCTCATCTCGAGTACGTGTACGATTTTTCAAAGGTACAAGTGTTTACTCAATTCATTGTCCTCTCAGGATGCTCGGCGAAGAAATCGTTCAGAGGGATCAGATGGTCCGTCCATCGCTAGACCTTTACCTGCCTCCACCACATACATTGCCGAACCGAGTTGAAGACTATCCTCACGCTCAAAGATATTGGCACCCACCCACACATTATGAGCTATCACTTCCCGAATTCTCCGGACAAAACCACTGCTGGCTCATTGATTCTCAAGGCCAAAAGGTCTCAGACCAGCGGTTCGCCGATATGCAATCATTCGTCAATGCTCTATTTAGGGTTCTCGCTGCTC